CAATTTCTTGTACACACATGAGCATCTATGAATTTGTTCCTCTAGTCCACCCAGACTCACACAAACCCCCAACCTTCTGGTCAGCAACCAAGCGCTTCAACCACTTATCCCCCTCGGGACTCTATGGCCACCTACATGAGGGTGCGTGGCATGGAAACAAGTTTAGCAAACGTTTCTTTTCACGCTCATGAAGTACGAGTACAGGTCAGGGGCGATGCACCCCTTGAAGAGCCCATGTGCACCGAGTGGTTCCGATTCACCACCGGTGACCTGACAGGACCCGGTGGAAGTGCTCAGTGCCACTGGGGCATCTCAATGAAGTTACTGGTGCTGCCAATGGATGGCAAAGCCTTCCGACACTCAGTTTGCCATGGAGTCCACTCTGGCTCCCGGCAACCCCGTGGACGGCTCAGGGAAGCCCAGAGGGTTTGGGAGGCTGTTGCCTGTCCTCCCCCAGAGGTGCTGGGAGGGTTTGAACCCCCAGCCTTTTGGCTGTTGGCCGAGAGCTCAACTGTGGCGCCACACCGCTCGTGAGTTTCAGCTCGGAAGAACATGAAGAAGAGGAAGTTTTGCACCTCCACCTGCGGTCCCGGACCCCTTTGAGTTCTAGTCATGGGCCCCTGAGCTGGAGGCTGGGCTGGGCAGAGGTCTGCAGAGCCCACTGGAAACCGTCCAACCCACAGGGTCCTCCCCGCGGCACAGCTGACGGAAGGGCGTCTCCCCGTGACCTAGCTCCTGGACGTACCTGCCCGGTTGATCTTGGAGGGCAGCATGGGCGCGCTGAGCACCTCATCCTCATCCTGCTCGTCGATCACCTTGCACTGGCGCAGGTAGGGGGTGAGCTTGGCCGGGTTGATGTAGCGGCTCAGCATGTGCCGGTTGCACTCCACGTTCTCCCACAAGGCATCCTCCTCGTCCTTGAGCGTCTCCACGCAGTCGTCCATGTCCAGCCCTCCTCCTCCTGGACACAAGCCCAACGGGGTCAGGGGAGCCGCCCCACCTGAGAACCCCCTCCCCTCCCCTGGGGGCACCCCTAGAGAGGCTAGCAATTCAAAGAAGGCGTTGGGCTGCCAACTGCCAGGCCAGCAGCTGGAAGTCACCAGGAGAAAGATGACGGAGCTTTCTGTTCTCACAGAGAAGCCACAGGGGCGGTGCTCGTCTGTCCTATCGGGCTGCCAAGGGTAGAACCCAACCCCATGGCAGTGAGCCTGGTTTTTGCTTTTTTACACGCATGCTACAGCTCGAGACAACAAAATCGCATTCAAAATCAATCTCTACTGTGAAACAACAATGTTTGTATCCAACAGGTGGTATAGTCACAGAGAGGGGAATGTCCCAGGTGGCTCTAGCACACATGGCTCGCCGTCCCTACTGGGGACAACCAGGATACAAAGCCAGCCTGGAACTAGAAAGTCCT